ACGGCCCGACACGTGCGCGCCCGTCGGGTTGAAGTACCGCAGCATGATGGCGTTCCACCCGTGCTCAGCATCGGTCACATCGCGAATGATGCTCTCCATGTACAGCTTTGTGCGACCGTACGGGTTCGTGCAGCCCAGCGGGCTGTCCTCGCGCAGCGGCTTGCCCTCTGGGTCTGCCTTGTAGACGGTAGCAGACGACGAGAACACAATGTTCTTGACGTCAAACTCGATCATCACGTCGAGCAGGTTCAGCGTGCCGGTGATGTTGTTGCGGTAGTAGTTGAGCGGCTTGCGCACTGACTCGCCCACGGCCTTGAGCGCAGCAAAGTGGATCACGCTCGAGAACTTGTACTGCCGGAACACGCCACGCAAGCCTCGAGGTCGCCCAGGTCTACTTGTGGAACGGGATTGAGTTGTCCTTCAGGCCACCCAGCTCCTCAACGCGCCGGAGAGGGATGTCGCTGCTGTTGCAGAGGTTGTCGACCACGACACACTTGTAGCCTTGCTTGAGCAGCTCCAGGACAGTGTGCGAGCCGATGAACCCGGCACCACCGGTGACCAGGACGTATGTTGCGGACGACGAAGCTTCAGCCATGGTTGAAGAGTATGCGGAAAAGTAGAGGAAAATGGGGGTTTGGAGAGAAAACAGGAGCAGATGGCCGACTCCACAGCAGAGCTATTTATAGCCCTGCGCTCCTCGCATTCGCACCAACTGACACACGAGCTGCCGCTGATTTGGTCCTGGTCGAATCGGACGCTGGTCGAATCGGACGCTGGTCGAGCGACGCCCCGGTGCCACGCAGACACGCCACTGGAGGCAGTGTGATCCCGAAACTGGTCTGTGGGGCAGCCCAGGACCGACTCGGTCCTTGCAGCGCCTGTCCCGGAGATCTGCCGAATAATCTGCCTTTCTAGCCCCCAATCCTCCCGAATAGTGGCCGTGATGGACACTTCCCAAGCCCGGAATTCCACTGTCCACCGGTGATTCTATCGTCATCACCGCAGGATTATTAATCGAATCTGCTGCTGTCCAGACACCGTGCTACTTTGAATCAGCTCTGTATAAAACCCGCCCCACAGCTCGGTCATTCCCAGCCTTCTCTTCATTGACTTTACACGCCCGTTCGCTGTCTCCACATATCTCTATCCTAGCATGCCTATCATCGAAGTCTTCACTAATGTCAAGAGCGCTGACACCAAGGATCTCTCACTGAAGGTCGCCAACCTTTCCACGCAGCTCCTGTCTAAGCCCATCGGCTACATGATGGTGAATGTCACCATTCAGGAAGGACTGACCTTTGGCGGAACTGATGCTCCTGCAGCCCTGGTCAAGGTTGGCTGTATTGGCAATGTCGGTGGGTCGCTGAACGCGCCGATCGTTGCCAACCTTAATGACCTTGTCAGCAAGGAGCTGAATGTGAGTGGCACGCGCATCTTTGTCGTTATTGACGAACTTCAAGGATCCAACGTTGCCCTTGATGGCCAAATATTTGGTTAAGAACTCGTTAGACTCCTGGCTTTTATGTAAAACCATCTATTACCCTACAACTACTATTATCATCATATATTGCTGATTATCGTGGCCATTTCAGTCCTACCGCTCAGCCACTCCCTAGGTGGACAATCGAGTTCCCACCACCATGTGCTGTTCCCACCACCAGATATTGTTTGCATCCGCGCCATACATAGCTGGTGTCTATATAGTGCACCCCTTCTGGGTATAAATCCCACAGCAGCCCAATCGCCAGACTAGCTCCCCTTACTTCTTTTTTCTATTTTCCACTCTTTCACCATGCCTGTCATCGAAATCGTTACCAACGTTCAGATCGAGGATACAAAGTCCTCTCGGTCAAGGCCTCAACCCTCTTCACTCAATTACTATCAATTCCTGCCAACTTTGTGCTCACTTTCGTCAACGTCAATCCATCTATGACCTTTGGTGGAACTGACGAGCCCACAGCTCTCATCAATGCCTTGTATCTCCGTCAGACCAGCTGTCCGGCAAATAGCTTGGTTATCGAAAAGCTCACTGGCTCGTAAACACCGAACTGGGAGTCGATCCCAAACGCGTTTTTGTGAATCTCAACTTCGGGAACCCCATGGATTTCGGTTGGAATGGTGAATTGCTGGCTCTTGTCACGTCCAGAGATGCAGGTATCCCTTTCCGCAGATAGGGACAGTCTAGAAACAATGCTCGACATCAGAGGGAAGAGAACTGCTGACTCACTACGCTCTCTATTCTCTTGAGGGCGTCGACTCCTGTTATTTAGTATCTAGTACCCAATTGTGTCGGTATTCATACGGCCTTTCATTCTGCCTTGTTCTTATTTTGAGAAGAGTTACAATAAACTCAAATCGAAGCGTTAACCCTCCTTGCGAACAAGGCAATTGGCGCAGTAAGTTGGCAGCAGCATACCTGTGTAATAGATGCAGCCTTAGTCAATGAGAATTAGTGAGTACTTTGGCCAAGAACCAAATGGCATACCACTGTGTACTCTTTATCCACAATATGAAACTCGTATAGTATATCTATTTGCACTCTCGCAAAGAACCCCGGACAAAAAGCCCTACCAAGACCTCTTGAAAGCAGGTGTATTATAAATATCAGACTGCTACCACATGTTACCATCAACTCGGTGCTTTTCGATAATCTCGTTGATGCGGTTCTGCCGAACGATATACGGGTGGTCAGCTGAGCCAAAGAATGCCTCCTTAGCCACACAGTGGCCCTTTATTGCGGTACAACGCACTGCATACGGCAGCACATCGGCTGAGACGACCATGCCACTGGTAATCGGACCCACGTCACCTATATGGCTATCTCGGTAGACATTGACACCATATAACCCGTCTGTCAAAGGACGAATCTGAATCTGAACATTGCCAAAGTCGCCAGTGATGGTCTCGGGCCGATATCTGTGGTGCGTTTCGTTCCAGACAATATGGACATGGTCATTGCCAATGTGCCGTTTCTTGGCTGTCTGTCGTGGATCCTTTGGGTCTAATGGCATGATACTAGCCTCATGGAACACAAGTTCGACATGCTCGTCCGCAAAATACAAACAAACCTTCCCATCTGACCCGTCGCTCTCCATTTTGCCTGTGAATCCTTCAAATGTTGTCAAGTCGACATACCAGCCAAGACTTCTGACGAACTGGCGGTACCTATCACTCGTATCACGGACTGTGTTTGACAGTATTTGGCTCTCGTCGTGCTGTCCGATCCCGACATAGAACACTGCTACCTTGATCGTTTCTCGAAAGTGGATCTTATCTAGTGCGCGCAAGTCACGAATCAACGCATCGCTCATTTTCAGTGTCACATGGACTGATTTCATTGTCTGACCCATGTCGAACCCCTTGTGATAGCGAAGCAGCTCTTGGTAACAGTGCAGCTTTGACGTTTCACTACAAGTTAGGTGAGGGTGAGAAAATGGTCTGCAATGGATATAGTCTGCACCATGAGTTCCTCTAGAGCGCTTACCACTGCCTTGCCCTTGTATCTCCTGGTGCTGCCGTATATCTGCGTACTACGTCATCAACTGCTGGGGAAATTGGGCGCGCTGTGTCGTTGTTTTCATCAACCGAAGAGACCGCCCGCAGCTCTTCCTTAATAAACGTTTTGACCTCTTCAAACATTTTGTGGTCCTCAGGGTCTGAGCCCTTCCTTTCGCGCCCCCAGTGCTGGTAACCGCTTGGGGTTAATGTGGCCTCGCGCATTGATGGCGGGATATCCGTACAGTTGAAGATATCTTTGGATGTCAGTGAGCTACAATTGCGATTGTGTGTTAGCGTCTAGCCTCCATATAGCAATATGCTACAAATCACAGCAATAATGACCCAGTGTATATACTTACTGAACAACTGTCTCCTTATTGGAATGGTGGCGCCGAGAGTCACTGGTTTTTGTCGAGTTGGCGTTTGACTTGTCTGAGTCGCGTCGATATTTGCACACAATGCTCTCGAGTTCATATGATTGTCTCTCGGGCAAGCATGTCATGTCCTGTGGAATAAATATGCGCCAAGCTTGTTTGCTCGCACAGCTGCGAACGCATCTAATGCAGACTACAATGCAGCACCCAGAAAACTGCGATTAAGAAACCATGCTTGCATATCAGTGCAATGCTGAATAGGTGACAGCACTTACAGCTAGTGTCCTTTTCATCGAATATGGATAGGATCATATTTCCGTGAGCATATACGATGCACTCGTCCGTTCCTTCCTCGTAATGCCTTGAACTATAGGTTTTTACCACCAGCGGGCCTTTGAAAGAGATGGGTTGTGAGACACATGACAAAGGAATAGGAGCGATATTCTGTCTTGGTTTGACCGCTAGATATAACTTACGTTTTAGGGTTCAGGATATCCTGCTGCCGAACTGACTCATCAAAGTAATACATCAAATGCACGTGAACAATCTCGCCAAGTTGCTATATCTCCAATGACCACAAACAGAAAAATGGTTAGTATGTTCGGCGATACATTCAAGCACATATCATCCATATTGTTTACTTACCGATAGTAGCTTCGTAGCCTTATCCCTCTCTTGGGCCAGCTGCTGCTTGTTTTCCTGCATGTGCTGCTTCCACATCTGGGAGGGCTTATACAGTGCAGGCTCGAGTCGGAGCACCATTCCGTCGATCAGCTCATAGTGCACCAGATGCTGATTGTACAAATGCGGAATCGCCACGCTTGATGTGTGCGGGTGTGCGAAGCGCCGGAAGATCTTTTCCACGAGAAAGTCGCGCACTGCGGCTGGATTCTGGATGTCACTCTTATTGACACCTTTCAGCGTTATCAGTCCTGGAGCTGCTGACAGGATAATCATAAGCAGCCGCGTAATTTCCCAGATTGCCTTGACTACGTTATTTACAATCCGTAGTGAGTGGCATGCATATCCATACAAGATGTCGTCAAGCATTGGCTGATGAAATGTACTTGCCTTTGTCCATGCTAACGTGGTCCTCCAGACGATCAAGCTGCTCGATGATGGCTTTCATAAGCTCCAATGTGACCATCTGCAACCTGGGGTACCCAAGATACTCCATTGTGTTTGCGCGGCCAGCGATCAGAAGCATTATGCTGTTGGCTGCGCTGTACACTGTTGGTAGCTTGTCCGAAAAAAGATGACTCAGGCATGAGATCAGACAGTTGGAGATGAGCTGGCTGTTTTGAAGGCTACTCGTTATCCAAATTGGATGAATGCTTTAGCCACAACTCGAAGTCATACGTCTGCTTATGATATGGTGGACACAGTAAAAACATGGACTTACCTCTTATCTGAAATCGATAGCTCACTGGAGCAAATCACAGACAGCCCATGCATCACACTGTGGTCGACACGTAGCTGAGTTGACTCATCCAGGTTTGCTAGATAAGAGCCCCCAGTGCTCAGTCTCCAAAGCGACAAGCAAATACGGCCAAAAATCGGTCCCCCGTGCTCCCAAGCAAGAGCATACGTTTGTGAACCCTTGTGGCGAACTATAACCGGGTATTTTTGCTGTACTAAGCTGGGCACTGAGTCGATAAGAGGATCATGGGAGCCATTTGTGGATCCGCAGTGGGCATCTGTCAGCTTTTTCGTCCCAGCGTTG